AAGTACAGACTAAATTCATGGCTCTGGAATGGTGGACCCGTTATCACTCTTTAACACCTTTGGAATACCATGTGTGGCAAAAATTCGTTCAAGTTTCAATATTGTTGATTTTGCAGATGTTGAACTTACAATTTCCACCTCTGGAAATCGTGAATATGCATCAATAATCACTAACAGATATGAACCACCTAGAAATGGTCCACAAAAATCAATGTTCACTGTATGCCAGGGTTGGGGAGGCAGCGTCGTCATTCTCAGTGGTTCTTGGGGACTGTTTGGTCCATTTGCCTGACATAACAAACAAGTATCCACTGTGTGCTTAGCAAGCTTGTCTATACCTGGATACCAAACCTTTTCTCGCAACAACTGTTTAGTTTTTACTAGCCCTTGGTGGCCTTCATGAGCAATTTGAACAGCCTTTAGTGTAAGGCTTTCTGGAAGCACAATTCGCGAGCCTCGTAATATAATTCAATCATGCTCGTTTAGTGTAAGTTCTGTTTTAATTTTCTCACATGCTTTCAAGTCCAAAACCTTTACATTGGGATTGGATTGTACGTCTAGAGAGTCTATTAAATGCCATTTACCTGTTGTGATGAGGTTGCTTAGGATCTGTAATGTTGAATCAGCCATGGTGGCTTGTTGTATTTCAGGCAGAGTCATTGCTCTTGGCACAGCATGTTGGGTAAGGAAACAAACATAATTGTCAGCCATTGTTTGGAACTGTCTGTCATCAGTGGTGGTGTTAACAGGTAAATGTCGAGATAGGAAATCTGATGGATTGTCAAGTCCCTTTGTATACCTTACATTAAAGTCATAATCTTGCAAGCGTAAATTCCATCTCTCAATTCTGGCTGGAGGTCTTGATTGTGGATTATTTAAAATCAACTCGACTGGTTTGCAATCAGTTATCAGAGTAAAATGTCCTCCGTATAGATAGATATGTAAACGTTCAATTGCCCACACAATTGCAAGAGCTTCTCGCTCTGTTTGACAGTATCGTCTCTCAACATCCGACAGCGAACGACTGATATATGCAACAACGTTTTGTTGGTCTGATCCTGGGACTTTCTGTGTCAGAATAGCTGAGAGACCAAAAGGTGATGCATCAGTGATAAGTTCTGTTTCCTTGGTTTGATCAAAATATGCCATAACTGTTGCACTTGTGAGGGCAGCTTTTACTGCGTTGAAGGATTTAGCATGCCTAGATGTCCAGCAAAAAGGCACATTTTTTCTTGTTAATTCTCGCAAAGGCTCTGTGAGATCACTGAAATTAGGGATAAATTTCGCACAATATGTCACCATCCCAAGGAAACTCCGAACAGCTTTAATTGAATTTGGAGGTGGGCAGTTGTGAATCGCTGAAACCTTCGCTGGATCCGGTGAAATGCCATCACCTGAGAAGACAAAACCAAAAAATGTGAGCTGCGATTGATTGAACTCACATTTGTCTTTGTTGAAGGTTAATCCAATGAGTGAAAACCGCTCAAAAATTTCATGAAGAGCTTTGTCATGCTCAGCTTGGGTTATGCCAAAGATAATTATGTCATCACTAATGTTGATGGCATTCGGAATGTAACGGATTTGTTCGCTAATTACATGTTGGAAGATTTCACTTGCCGAATTGGTGCCAAAATTCAACTTCTTATAGCGGTAGAGTCCTTTGTGCGTTACAAATGTGGTTATGTGTCGACTTTCCTCAGCGAGAGATAACTGGTGGTATCCCGAGCGAAGATCAAGCTTTGTAAATATGGTGGCGCCGTTTAATTTGTGAATTAAATCATCCACAGTTGGGGTCGGATGTCTTTCGCGTTGAATTGCCTGATTAGCCATGCGCATGTCAATGCATAGCCTGATCTCACCATCTTTCTTTGGGATAACAACTAATGGACTGACCCAAAGAGTGGCATCTGATACTTTTTCAATAATTCCATCACTTTCTAACGTGTCGAGCGCATCTGAGACCTTTTGCCGCATGTGGAAAGGAATACGACGGGGGGTTTGTGCTACTGGAGGGACAGTATCATCAATGTGCAATTTAACTTCAAAATTTTTAAGAGTGCCAATTCCGTTGAACAGATGGGCATACTCTTTCATCAGTTGTTCATGGGTGGCATGTTCCGGTTTCACATTGTTAACATTCAGCATGATTAGACCCAAAGCAGATGCTGTTTGATAGCTTAGCAAACAACCAAAATTTCCTTTGATAACATGAACTTGCGTGGTTGTTGCACCAGTCAAACATTCTAGAGTTGCACGAAATTGTCCCATAACAGGTAGCTGGTTTGTAGCTCTATATGCAAAAATACGTGTTTTGGAACGTTGAAGGGCTATGGGTCTCTGTTTTTGCAAGGTGTTGAAAGCAAGTTCATCGATGATGTCGATGGAAGCACCAGTGTCGATAACCATGTTGATAGGGGTGGTGTTGACCGAGATTTGAACCTGTGGAGTTGTTTTGTCTCTACCTGTCGGTTTCAGAGTAAAAATAAATTCATCCTCGCTACTGCTTTCACTGCTGGAGGGTTTGCCATAAATCTTGTGAACTTTGTTTTTGTGGTATTTTTTTGAAGGCCTTCGATTCTCTTGTTGACCGACGCGAGCCTTGCGAGCACTACGACAGACTTTCGCAAAATGGTTTGATTTTCCACAGTTCAGACAAGATTTTCCCTTCGCGGGACAAATATTGTTGTTATGGGGCCAGGGCCCCCCACAATTCCGACACTCTGATGAGGTGTAAAAGTCTTGGCGGTGAAACGATGTATGTTGTTTATCACGATGGTTGTTATGTTTCGTTGTAGGATGGACAGCTTCAACTACTTCGTCAGAAATATGTGTTGAGTCAAGTGCGTTTTCAATGCCGGTTGCCTGCGATTCACTGAGTTCAAAAGCTCTGCCTTTTGCGAGAATCTTGGCTAGCGTAACTTCCGAGTCAAGCAGGGCGTAGCGTCGTAGACGTTTCGATAAACAGTTTTGAATTATGGCCGATTTTACTTCCTTGTCGATATTTTCGAAGTCACAGGTTGCCGCCAGCTTCCTAAGACGAGTTGAAAACTGATCGATTGTTTCATGTGGTTGTTGTTTGGCTTCACGAAACTTAAAAATTTCAAAATCGACATGTTTTTTAGGTGAAAAATACGTATCGAGGGCAGCGATAGCGGAATCATAGTCGTCGTCTTCGCCGATGTCAGCAAGGGTATCAAAAATATCCTGAGTCTTTTGGCCAGCTTGGTACAACAAGAGAGCCCGCTTTTGTTTCTTTTCAATCACATTCAGAGCAACAAGATATGTTTCAAATCGTCGTTTCCACTTTTTCCAGCGCTGACTGAGAGAGTTTGGATCGGACATAGGATCAAATGGCGCCATTGGAGCTACATTGATTCGGCCAGTCGCCATGACTGTATTCGTAAACTAGAGATTTCAAAATCGTTTGTATTGATAAACGATAGCTGTTTTTTTTTGTTTGTTTGTTTACCTCGTCGCCAATGTAATGTTCGTGGTTTTGTATCAATATCAAGCACTTTTAAGTATAACAATAGATATCAAACAACTTGTACAAACAGCATAGTACGTATCCAATTACTTCCCGGTTCCCTAGCCTCGTGCTTCTAAAATACTTAACTAACTTTCTAGTCACGTGTGTGCTAGTGTCAATAATGTCAACATTGCACACAGGTCAAAATTATTGGAATATCATCAATTGTTAAGCTACGAAATTATCATGTATTCACATGCTATTAGCCATTCCGAAGTTGATGAGTGGACTGGGGACAAGTGTTAAAAAGTGCCCAAATTAAGAAATGAACCAAATCACTAAAAAGACCACCTCAAAATTAGTAAGTATGCAAAGTTTGAAGACGTCTACATGAATATAGACAATATACCCTTCGAATAATAAGCTTTCGAAAATCGCGATATTTACTATGAAATGTATTGTAATTTTTGTTTTTGGGGATGGTTCATTTCTTAATTTGGGCACTTTTTAACACTCGCCCCCAGTCCTCTCATCAACTTCGGAATTATGACCAATTCGAAGTTTCGACTGCGCATCCAAATGACGCGTTCTGAGTTGGAGTTCAGGCTGGAGCTTTGGAAGCGTTAAAATGTGCCATGTCAAAGTATTGAACTGTTCAATCATCATTTGTGTTTCAACTTAGGGGCCGATTACATGGAGCATTTTAAACCCCGGGGTTGAACTCAGCCCTGTTGACCGGGTTGAAATTTCAGCCCTGCCTGTAATACAAAACCCTTTCAAAATCAAAATCAAACGCGCGATTACATGACAAAATTTTCAATCCAGGACCGAGTTTAAGCTTGGGGTTGAAATTTCAACCCTGCTTCAGCAACCCCCAGGGTTGAACTCGGCCCTGGGTTGAAAATTTTGTCATGTAATCATTTCAACCCAGGGCTGAAATTATTCATGACCAAAAATGGAGGCTTTTACTTCCGGGAATCAATGCCGAGAACGTATAGCATTTAAATTCCGGGGTTGAAATCGTCCATGTAATCGCAACCATTTTCAACCCGGTTAACAGGGCTGAGTTCAACCCCGGGGTTGAAAGTGCTCCATGTAATATAGTCACAATAGAACTGTCATCAAATAATTTTTGTACTAGCATTTTGTTTTACTGCATGTGTAAAGCAAATAAAGAAAGGTATTAATATTTTCTAATATGTATGCGAGTCAACCGCGCGGTAGTGCTTTATCTCTGCGAGTGTTTTAAATGGCTTAAAAAAAGACCCATCTTATGAGTTCATTGGCGAAGAAATTTTAAAAATAAACGTATTGTCTAAGCAGACTAAGACGAGAAAATCAAAGCTGAGTAAGTTTATCTAAATTAACATGATTTTTTATCACATATAAAGATCCACACCCACCGGACGCGATTCCACAACGCTACGCGATTTTTTGATTTTCACTGAACGATAACTTTGATCCTAGTTTAAATTTGCCAAATATTTAGAAGCGTTATAACATTTTGAGTTATTTGGTCTACGTATCTTTTAAAATTTGCTCTCATTGGCTGTTTTATTAACTTTCAAAAACTAAAATCTCGCGTCGCGTTGTCCAATCGCGTCCGGTGTGTCTGAACCTTAAAGCCACCGACACGGTAGCGATTTCCTTTGTCTTTTTTTATGAATTATTAATGCCTTTTTTATTGTTCTTTGAGCAACGTTTGCATATTCAAATAATGATTGGACATTCATTGGAAACGTTTCTATGCATATGCGCAGTCGAAACCATGAATTGGTCAGCAGGTGGCCGTGGCAACGGAGTGTGAGACTAGGTACGAAGTTGACGCTATATGCCGACCCATTCTCGTACCCAGAGCCCTTCTTACGCGCGGTGCGACGCGGGGCTCTGGCCAAATCCATAACCGGATACCATAAAAACATGGTAAGAAAACAATGTCCGGTGTTAGAACTAGCCAATCAGATGCCAGTTCGGAATTGGATTTGGCCAGAGCCCCTCGTCGCACCGCGCGTAAGAAGGGCTCTGGGTACGAGAATGATGCCGACCAATCTCGTACCAATAGATTCTTTGGCTCTGGGTACGAGATTGTATGGTATTCTATGAGATTGGCTGGTGGTAACGAGGGTAGCCTGCGTGGCCGACGCTCAATATTGCGTGATTAGTATATGCACAGGTATATGACATTTAACAATTATTCGCCGAAGGCGAGGTGATTATCGGGGAATATTCGCCGAGACGAAGTCGAGGTGAATATTCCCCGATAATCACCGAGCCTGAGGCGAATAATTGTGTTAGTATTTTTACACAAGTCTTTTGTCTTATTCGGTACTGAATTTATTTTGATTTCGCTTATTTCTTTATCAGTATTAAGCTTCCACAAAACGGCTAGCCGCCATTTTGAAAATTTTAGTTTTGTTATATTCACCTGTAGGTGAATATAACAGCTTAATACGTCAAATTTGACCAATCAATTTGTAGGATTTGTTATGTTCACTTGTGGAAAAATACTAATAACGCATATTTCCTCTTGATGTCAATGCAGCGGCAAAAATAGTACAGCTATAATCTTCAATTCCCGGCAGACGGTCTTTCGCTTCCTTCGCCTCGCCCGCTTTTAGATGTTCCGCGGTGGGCTGACCATCTGCCACGCAGACGGTGGAGGGCGGCTTATTTGAGAAATTTGGTTGATTTAGTGGTGGAAAGTTTTTAATACTTTTTATCAAGTATTAAATACTTTTACATAATGCCACTGTCTAAAAATTACGGTTACCATAGAGTTTTTTAATACGATAATTAAACACAAAAAAGCAATTGACCGCTCCTCAAGTTGTTTTAAACATTTTCATTCTCTATGTTTCGACTATTACTTTACAGTCATCTTCGGGAGAATGAGAAGTTTTGTAGCGAGTTTTATAGATATAGCTAGTTGCTTCTAAGAAACGTGGCATTCTGAAGATGACTGTAAATATTAATTGTCAGGTGAGTGACAATGATGATGTGTAAGCGGTGTTTATTTTACCGAGTATTAATTAAATAACGGATTCCAATTTGAAACACTCTAATTAGAGAGCTTAAGATAGCAACAAGGACGTCAGTTCGTCGAGGGGAACTGGACTAAAAACTGTGGTCAGTTTGTGGTAATCTTTAACACATATAGACAAAACCTATAAGATTTTCAAAGTTGTTTGCTTTCTTAGACGAGCGTTATGATGCAAAATGCCGCCAAAATTAATTCTACCAATTTTCGGGTGACGTCCATGTTGACAAAACGTCGCTTTCTTAAGCTCACTATTGACAATCGCCCACTGGAATATTGGTCGCAATGCTAATATTGTGAGCGTTTTTAAATATTATTATTGTGAGTGTGTTTTAGGCGACGAAATTGGTATTACATCGCATCATTTTTCTTGAACGTTCACAAAATACAGTATTTCGTAAGTATAAAGCATTTATTGTATCGTTTCTTGTGTTTTAATTCGTTTCTTATAGTGCATTTTGCTCCTTGAATTAATAAACACACGTTAATTAGCGCCACTTTTACATTTCAACTTACTACTTTTGTGATGCAACTATATACTCTGAATATAATGTGCTTTGAATATTGGCTAGTATTGTACTGTAGCAATGTTTCTAACTGTTCGAAAAATGGCGTTTATTTGTACCGTAGAATACGTACTTTCGTTTTTAGTATATAATTTCCGGTGGGGGGCCCGCTTACTAAACCGCTACTTTAAACAGTATTCTTCTTCGTCCTTTCACTTGCACATTTCAACTTACTACTTTTGTGCTGACACTGTACTCTGAATATAAAGTGCTTTGAATATTGGCTAGTATTGTACTGTAGCAATGTTTCTAACTGTTTGAAAAATGACGTTTATTTGTACCGTAGAGTGCGTACTTTCGTTTTTAGTATAATTTCCGGTGGGGGGCCTGCTTACTAAACCACTACTTTGTTAAACAGTATTCTTCTTCGTCCTTTCCTGTATTTTTTCTTTATCCCCATTTGTCTGAATAACTGTGTTGTTGATATTTGCATGGCCGTTGCAAATCTTACAACATTCCTTTCAACATCAATTGAAAGGAATTTTGTAAGATTTGCAACAGCCATGCAAATATCAACAAACATGCATGTCCAAGAAATTTTCACCATTTGATCTCATCTGCTCTTGTGATATGACCTGTCGAAACCTCTGCATAAACTATTAATGAAGCTTGATAACATACTGTAATTTACAATCTTTTAAGATTGTTTAATTAAAATTTTATTCTCTAGTTCACAATGAGCAACATCACATTTACAAATGGAACTTCCACTGGGTGAGTGTCTATACTTGCCTTATTTATCCTTTCCCTTACGAAAAAATCCAATTGGAATTCCAGTAGGCAGGGCCGGCGCTAAAGGTGGGGGAGGGGTATAACACCCCCAGTCGGGTAGTCGGCCAAATATTGAATCCCAGTTGGCGAAACATGGATTTGGATAGGAAGAATTCCAGTTTGAATTCCATAGGAATTTAAATTTTCCTGTTGGAATCGATCGAATTTTGGACAGAAAAATTAATTCCAATTGTAAATTAGTGTTTATTGTAAATTGTATTTAATATTGTAAATAATATTGTTTTTATGCATGAGTACTAAAATATAAATACAGTGAAATGTTTAACGAAATGCATGAAGAGCTAAATTTTAATTCTGCTTATTTTAAGTGTTGAGTGTGATGTGGACAAAACCTTCTTACCTCACCTCCTTTTGATACCTGCTGTAAGTTTTAATGTGTTATTTTGTTTCTTTGGTACTATTTATACTTTAACCTGGACGAGTAAAATCATCTTGTGTTAATGGACACGCATGCAGAATAAAATAATGAAGTAGGGTGCAATATGTGACATACTATGTACCCTATATTTAATTATTTTACTCCAATTGATACGAAATGACTTAGTATTCTATTCACAACCTTCACAATCATGCTCAGTCTAATTAAGGATTGGGGATAATGGTGATCCAGCGCCTAAGCCATGCAGGCTTGAAAAGCATGGTTTAGGGGTAGCAGGGCCGGTTTTACGAGCCACGAAAATCATGGGTTTTTTGGTGGGTTTGTGGGTTGGTGGGTGGGTGGGTTTTGGGTGGGTTGGGTTGGGTGGTCCGTTCACCCTGCTCACTTATCCACTGGAAAGAAACTGAGCTAGATTTGAGGATTTCTCCAATATTTATACTTCCCGTGTCGTAACACACACGTGTGCTCGCTCAACCAAGCGTATACGGTAAAATATATCTTAATTTTTACTTCGCATATCATTATAAGGGTTGTGAATAGTAAATTTATACTCAATCTGTCTAAATTGCCAGACAATTAATAACTCCTCAAAGGGAGAGTTCTGGCAGTAACAGTGGCTTTTCTCCATCTAAAGAAAAACAGTTTTACTACAATCTTTGTATATCATTGATAACTAAAATGGACAATCTGGTTCAGGGAATAATTATCACCATATTGGCATTTTTAGTGTCAAGTTTCTTCGAAACTTGACAAGTATTGTGATGAGTGGGGGAAAATTCATATGAGTCAGGGATCAGGCATAATAGTGTAAACTTTCCGGGGGGTGTATACGATATATGTTCGTAGTGATTTATTGTACTTAGTGCTTTGAAGGTTATTTAGGCAATTTCAGTTGTCTTATTTAAATATTCTTTTGTCCTTTTGCCAAGTTCACAAAAATTTTGAGGAGTGGTTGTCGTTATTGTAATTTTTTGTAAATTTTATAACATTCGCTTCTCATGTTGTGTAAAAGATCTTTACCCCGGAACACTCGATTTTTTCTTTAGCAGCGCAAATGCGCATGCGCTATCAAACCGTAGATGACCTACGATGACGTGACGATGCTAGGAAGGAGCGACACATTTTGCGACACAGTGTTGTTTTCAAATGTATACACATTTCAGACGTGAATATTGAGTAAATCTTTGAGAGTCTACGCAATATATAAATTGATGTTATTCATTACGGGCATTCAGTCAAGTACCGATATTACTTAGACGGTATATTCATTATACAGAGCTAAGGAGCTAGATAGTGCTTTTTTCCAAATGTATATAAAACATTTCAGACCTAATTATAAATATTGAGAAAATCTTCGAAGTGCCGATATTATTTTGACGGTGTATTCATTATACAGAGCTAGGAAGGAGCGAGACAGCGTTGTTTTCAAGTACATAAACATTTCAGACCGATGAATATTGATAAAATCTTTGAGATGCTACGTAATATATAAATTGATGTTGTGCATTTATACCGGCCGGCATTCAATTAAGTTCCGATATTATTTAGTCGTATATTCATTATACATCGAATGTAAAGGTGTAACACTGCTACACCACAGAATAGGTCACTCAGTACGAAGAGCAAAACATTGCATCAGATCAGTAGAGCATAAATAACTATCAAACAGAAGTAGTGTACTAGTGTTTGTATATCATTGTATGGCGTTTGCTATCCAACGTGTACAGTCACGGGCCTTGTTCACATGTCTGGCACAACGGTGCAAACTGGTGTTCAATGGCACAATGTAATATTCAAATGCAACGAGAACATCACCAGATCTTACGAGAATCTATCTGTATCAAAGCTTTATCAAAACTGCTATAAACTCTGCTGTAACTGTGAAATTATTGACATCTAAAGAGACATTATTGAATACTTGCGAAAAGCTGAAAATGACTCATATAAAAAAAACAACCTGATCTTGGCCTTGGGAATATAAAGTCAAAGGTCATTGAGACTTGTTATTGAGAAACATGTCACAATTAAGTTAAAATGCGGAAGCGGATGCGGAACCTAGCGGATCCATGGAGCGGGTGCGGAACGGATATGGGGATAAAATGCGTCATTTAAATGAATTTTTTCGCCTCATTTTTATGTGTCTGTGTTTTGGATTTATGTTTTTTGTAATGGGATGCAACGTCATATTAACTACAGTGTGTCCCCAAAAAGTACCCTTATAACAATAGGATAGATACTTTCTATAGAGGGTACTTTTTTGGGACACACTGTAGTTATACAGCTATTTCAATTGTGTCACTGAGACAATAGTTAAATGTGCAATATGGGCGCTGATAGTTTTAAATAAGTTTAGTATATCAGTAGCCTCATGGGGATACTTTCAGCGACAGCTCCCAATGCAATTGTAGTTTTAGAATATACAAAATTTGGTTGCTGGTGAAAGAATTTAAATTTCGAGTTGTCTCGTGTAGCATCACAATAAATAAATAAATTGTACCAGTTCCACGAGGCACGGCGAAGGAAGTGACAATGAATTGTTTCTCTCGTAAAAACCTTGTTCTAATCCACATTTTTGAGTAACGTGCAGTGTTGGTATGTTAGATGAAGAATTAGGCCAAATCGTATTAGTGCCGTTATTGAAAACAAATAAAACAAAAAAAACAAAACACGCTAAGACAAAAAAAAACAAAGACCTAATGTAACGTTGTTTGGCCTAATTGTTGAGCAAACCTATTAACCCGCTAGACCCTACGCAGTTCTTCCCGATCGTATTCAATTTGAAACTTTACACTATCCTTGGATCCCTAGTTACAACAAAGAAGAAGTTTTAAGAAAGAAGTTTGGGGAGGTCGACCTGGACTTGTTGTGTTAGTATAAATATAAACGATTTCTATAAACAGTACGTATTACGTGTTGTTTTATTCCCTGGCATGGAATAAAATATGTCTTAAAGTCTTGTACTTTGCACAAATCTGGACAAATAAAATCATCTGGCACAAGACTGTGTGAGTAAATGTGTAGTGTGGATGAGGGATTGTGGCTACTGTAGGTTAAAAAGAGATGGGTAGAGATGGTGTGTAGCCACAGTGGGACTGGTCTCTCCACCTCTCTCCCCCAGCACTCCTTTGGGACCAGCTTTGAGAGATGCTTACATTTGTTGAGAAATGTTGGGAGGGAGAGGGAGGAGGGGCAATTTGCGCAATACAATGTCCAGCTTAATTATGGCAAATAAATTTAATTCTGATCTCAACACTTTGACAAACATTTAGAGATAAAAGGAGGAAAATGTTTTTACAGTGAAAATGCAAAGTGTCCCACTTCCGCTTTTGTAGTTTGTTGTGATTCACTGTAATTTGTTCTGTTTTTCTGTAGCGATTACCGAATACTGCGATAAAATTTAAATTTCGTACCTTTTATGCAATGAAACTCACGAAAAATGCATAATTTCCCTTTGCTACAAATTGTCATATTTAAAAATAGAGAAAATAAGTTTTATCGCGGTATTTGCCGATAAATTGGTAATCGCTACAGAAAAACAGAACAAATTACGGTAAATTACAACAAACTGCGGAAGTGGGACACTTTTTGTATTTTCACTGTAAATGATATGTAAGGAAGCACATCTTAGTACTATTTACAATGTCTTGTTTATTGTTTATTGTTTTTGTATCTGCGAAGCAGATATATTGCTATCGCAAACGTAATGTTACCGTATCCCTAGCCATTCAGCGACGAGCTTATATAATTGAGCCAATTTAAGCCAATCAGCGATTAGTTTACATCGATTGTTTACATCGTGCCCGCATTAATGACTGCCTAATAAACCCAATTTGTCCTTTTCAAAATGGCGGCCTTTCGTGAGTGGGCCAAATGTTTCACACAATTTCGTTAAAATTTTCAACGAATTGTACCGGTTTTCTATGGATTTTGCATTGTGTCTAACTCTGGGCATTTTTGCTAGTTTAGTTAATGCATTTTTCTTGGTACACGACTCTGAAAATCGGAAATTTGATATTTGAATTCCCGTGCACGATCATATTAAATATACAGAATCTGATTATAAACGAGCCAAAGACAATTGCAAGGTAAAAGGTTATAACCTAAACTACACAACGTAGTTTTAATAGATAACTACTTTATGAGAAGCATATTGGTGTCATATCAATATAAAATTTATGCAGCAACAGTCCCTAATAGTTAGCCGTGGAACGTGAAAACTGTAGTGTGAAATATGCATAGATATCTTATATACACTAGATAGCGCATCTCTTTTAGTAAAGTTGAAGCCAAGAATATTCCAGCGGTTACCCCCATTTGAATAGATGGCGGCCATGTTGGTCGTTCCCACTTGCTAATAAACGCTTAAAAACAACAATAACTTCTATCATATGAATAGTTTAAAAACGTATTTGGAATAGGATTAACTTAATGTTTAAGTTCCCTGTTTAAGAAATAGAAAACATACGAATCTTCTCATTTCATGGGAACGACCTGAGACAGCAATCACGGCTTCAATTTTTGAATTGCAGAATAATTAGATGCACTATCTAGTGTATATAAGATATCTATGGAAATATGATATTGTAATGTCTAATGACAGTGATGACACCTAATGTATAATGGCGCAATAAGGATAAAAATGCCACCGTTCGATTCAGCGTAAGAAATTGCATTTACGGATGTCAAATGTATTACTAAACAACAGTGTTCTAGCGATTTATGGTCTTTGAAAATCAAGCGAAATTGTATTGTTGACAAATCGCTCACAGTACGTAAAAGGATATTTGCTGACTGACAGACAGACAAATCACTCGCAATACGTTTGTCTTTGTATTTGTAATGCCTAATGGCGCAATACGGATAAAAATACCACTGTTCGATTCAGCGTAAGAAATTGTACTTATGGATGTCAAATTTTCACTAAACAACAGTATTCTAGCGATTTATGTAAATTGTGGCCTTTGTCTTTGAAAGCCAAGCGAAATCGTATTGACTATTGTTGACAAAACGCTTAAAATTATTCAACTAATTATAAAAAATGCAGTACGTTTGATCCTTGATAACTTTGGTATCGTTGGTTTTCTCTTTTTCGGCCGCATACCAGTAGATTCGTCTCACCTCTCTCTTCATTTTGATAGTCATATTTTTATATCGAACGTTTTAAAGCGCAGTTTAATCAGGATACAAGGAGAAAGCCTCAGAGAGCATGCAAATGTTAGAATAAAAAGCAAGGGTGGGTTGACTACAAAATTTTTGTAGTTCGCTATAACTACAGCTACTTCAAAAATATGTAGTCAGCTACAACTACTGCTACTTTTGAACAAAAGTACTTCGCTACTGACTACAGCTACTGCTTAAAAAATGTAGCGAACTATTTCGCTATTTCGCTACTCTATATTTTTTAGTTTTACGGTATTTGGAGCATCTAGTAGCTCAGGCTGTAATGTAGCCTACAACAAATCGACTTACGAGTAGCAACAGTAAACAAAAAGGGTCAAAGCAACATTTTTATAAGCACTACAGTGTTCAGGAGTGCCATTTTTCGTTGCGCTAAAATAATCCTTACTGTAAAAATAATCTTTTAAGCAAATATCATTCTATTCTATGAACGGTTGCTAACAATTTTAAAAAGTAGCGAATAGCGATTCGCTGTTTGAAAAGTAGTAAACTATTTGGCTACTTTTAAGCAAAATGTAGTTCGCTATAACTACAACTACTGTTTTAAAAAGTAGTCAAAAACTACTGGCTACTTGAAAATTGTAGTTCGCTACAGTACCGAACTACAACTACTTCGCTACTACCCACCCTTGATAAAAAGAT